TGCGAAACCAAATTAAATAAAGGCTTCTTTCATGTTTAAGTTGGAAAAATCAGTGTCACGTCCATGTATCCCTATATCAGAGTTAATGTAAATGTATTTGCTTGACAGCAACTTAAATTGATGTAAGACTGATTCGAATGCGATTGGGAAATTGAATTTTCATTTGATTCAGTTTGCATGGAACTATATTCAATTGAATGCAATCAAAGTCTCAGAATGTAGCGAAAGAAATGATTGAATTCAATGGAAATTGATCGGCCATCGAGGGGACAGCATGTGCAGTAAGTTTGTACATGTGTACATGTTTTTGAGGTTTATGTTTAATACATGAATTGATAATAAATCGGTTATAACAAATATAAATCTTGTACAAACATACAATTAAATTAAATTATACCAAATTATAAAGTAGTATGTTCTTTGTTCTTTGAGAAGTATGTATATTTCTGTGATGACGTACTATAATTTTTGTATATTGCTATGCACCTTTTTCCACTTCTTCAATTATATATTATTTAAATTAAAAAATAAACTTCATTTACTGTAACAATTTATATTCTTTTAATAATAATTCTCTATTTTATAAACTAGTCTCTCCCAGTAATAGAATCTAAGTAGAATCGCAGCTCCATATGGCTTAGGGGATTATGTACACTGCCAGACCCACAAAAAAAATTGCAACATAAACTAACGAATTGTACAACATGGTTTTTTCTGTTTTATTTTTATAAACTGTCTGAAAAATACTCGCATATATATATATTTTCAATGGTAAACCGATGTATTGCTGCGCCTGACAGCCCGCAATAAAAGCGCGGGCACGTCCACAAACATACAGCGGCATAAAAATGGCGAAGCCATGGGATCCGGACGGAGATCCCAGCCCAGTTCCATGGGAGAGTAGGCCAAAGAGCCCGGCAAACCGCTGATGTACAAACAATAAAGTTCAAGGGTATTACAAACAGGCGTTCGCCGCACACTCGCGTGTGCTTAAATATGAGTGATAGGCGGTAGTAGGGCCTGTGTTGCATATACCCTGCGGTGGCTCAAGGACCGAGGACCGAGGACCAAGGACCAAGGACACGGGTGCCCCGGTGGGTCAAGTCGGGCCAATGTTGACTTTCAGGGGGGCGGAGGGGTTTGAGAGCCCAGTTAATGAAACTCTGGCGGTAAGAGAGTGCCTACTGTTTGCCATCAACCTGTTTAGCGAATTTTAATTATGCTAATGCGAGGAGAGGCGAGAGCAACACTTTCTTTGCTGTCCTGTGTGTGTTTGTGTACACACACAAAACGCAGGTGTATTCATCTGAAAGGTGAAACACTGCTACTTTTGTGCTTGTTTGTCTATTCCACACAGCGTTTCACCTGCTCCCTCAACCCTACACTCCGGATACTCTCTGGTATTCCTATTACTTTAATTTTCCACCTGAGAGGCAGAGGAAAAAAGAGCAAGTGAGGAAACTATAGTAATTACTGATTATCTTCTGACATTAAAGCTCATTAATTGGAGGAGGCGCAGCTCTAATTAGCCTGGAATTAGGCAGACTAAAATTAGCTTAAACATAATGCGCCTTTATCGATTCGAATCAAATTTACAGTAAATAAATAAGGCTAATTAAACACTATTAAATCCCAATTCCAACAGAATAGATACAAGCTCAATAAAACAAAACTAAACCCACCAGAAGCCTTCCTTTATGTTTTTAATTTCTTTTAATAAAAATGTATTAAACTTTTTATAAAGCTAGTCAATAAAATATTAAATTTCTAAACATTCGTATTCCAAATTGAGACAAAGGCTTTTAATCAATCATTTTTCCATCAGAAAACAATAAATAAAACTTTTTTTACTGACTGATGACGGGGCTTATCTGTCCGTGAAAGCCACTAATCAAAGGGCAGTGGTAATTAAACTAACGAACCAGCAACTAAAATAAAAATAAAAAGAAAACTTTACAATTGAAACGTGCAGATGCGGCTTTTGTGGAAAAACAAAAATAATTCCTGAATGCGGCGTTAAAGCATAACGCTTGAGTTAGGTCAGAGCCGGAAATTCGTAGAATTGCATGGATATAAGTCGGACACTTCCGGAACATGGACTCACAGTTTTGTTCAATTACCGGCCAGTCTAAAATTTCTTGAATATTTAATATCTGGCCCAACAACATCACTCACGAACACTCGGAAAACCAAAACTAATTTTTTGTTAATTGAAATACACGTAAAATCACGTATCCGCTGGTAAATCACGGACGAATTTTAAATTGTACAGACCGCGACGATGACATCCGCGAAGAGAACCGCACGCAGAGCCGGACACGAGAATACTGAACGCAGGCATCCAAAGGACGAAAGCGCAACAGCATCTGGAACCCGGAATTTGGTGACAGGGTTGTTACTGCCACACGAGCAGCCACGAGGATATCCGACTTCTGCCGAGCATCCTTTCGGGCGGATGCTGTTCGCAGGCTCTCCATGCTCTCGGTTAAGCAGATTCAGCAGGACTCAGCAACTTGCTTACTCGTTCAGTAGGTCAGAAAACCACCTGCGTTCCACAAATACAGGACAGTTCACAATAATAGGGGATTATTTGGTAAAGTAAAGGTTATCATAGTATAGAGATTGAAGAGAGATTAATTAAATTATTGCATCCCTTTTAAAAGATAAAAAATTAGGATTTTTGAAATTAATTATGTCAGGGTACTGAAAACAATTTTATACAAGTCTCAGTTTAAATGTTTTTTTATCGAAGTTTTGTATAACTTTATAGCATAATTACTAATGCATTCTTAACTTATTATTATTATTTTTACAGATCATCCAATATGAACCTTCCAAAACGCTTTTAAATTAAATGTAATATTTGAATAAATTTATAAAATATAAGAGAAACTAGTGGAGTATACAACAAATACTGTGAGAACTAATTTTAATAACTATTTTATCAAAAATAATTTATTGAGAATTGTTTCAATTTAAACATTGAAAATTGTTTAATTTCAAACAATATTTTGGAGACCTATTTCAACTTTTATTACTTTCAGTTACAAGTTATTACGTTACCAACCTTAATCTTAAAAAGACATAAGAAAAATATTACCAAACCTTCCCAAAGAAATCAGCAATTCTGGTAATTTAATTAGCCTTTTTCCGTTTTATTTGAACTGTTTTATGGGACAAATCATCCAAGGCAACTGAAAAATACTAGTACTCTCTCACATGCCGGCATGTGGCAAGTTCTAAAGCAAAAACTCTTCAAAATGCACTGAATTGTGAAATCCCCAATGGATAAATATAATAAATACAATATGATATGATTAGTCGACATGACTTTGTAAAGCAGAGAGGAGGGGTTATGATGTGAGTACGGAAAAAAAAAGGGTGACTGAGTAAACAGTTACAAAACATCCTGGCCAAGCCCAGCCAAGCCCGGCTGGCTGACTGCGTAAGACATTTACGAGCGTTTGAATTTGACAGATTTCTTTTATTAGAGCGACAGACAGCGTCAAAGAAACTGGCGAAGCGGTCATGCGTGCCAAATCCAACTGTAGTCCATACGATACTATAGCCAGGATCCAGGATACGGGGATACCAGGAAGATTTAATAAAAACAACCACAACTTTGGTCCAAAGACCCCAAGGCGATTGAAAATTCTTATAAAGACGTCATAAAATATATATATATACTATATATATATATCTGTTATGCAGTTCAACGCATTTATGGCATGAGAAAGCTGGAATAAAAAGATACAGGCCCCTCTCTCAATATAGTAGAATTAATACCATATGGTTCTTATAGTAGTTTTTCCCTTTTTTGACTCTTTTACTTAATCTTCGTTGTGGGTTAACCCACACATACACTTTCAAGCACGCACAACTTAATTAGACAGCCAAAAAAAAGCATTAACCTCCTCGAGAGTTGGGAGCTGCATACATAACAAAGTCGGGTTACTGACTTCCCGGAATTTATCCAGATAAAAGGGGAAAACTTGGCAGCTAATTCAGACAATTAAATCAACAAATCAAAGAGCTTCACTAAAACAAATGATTGCTTCGCCTTGAACTACACATATTCTTGCCACTTTATTTAATTCTTTAAGAGTGAAACTTTTATAGACTTTTCACTACAGCATATGCAGTAAATATCTACATCCTTAAAGGGTTCCAATTAGCCATCGATCCGGCACTCTATGCCGCCCAGAAATCAAAGCGAAAAAAAGGGGCGGAAAAATCGTTCCCCCTTCGAACAGCTACTTAACAATACACGCTCCTTATCGTCAATTAAGTTTAATTGCCCCAGCGAACCACTCGAAATATGCATACAAAGTGAACGGAGGAGGCATCATTGAAACGCTGCCTGTTTTTCAGCTTTTTCCGCTGGCCAACATTAGCACACAGTCCCTATGCCTATGCCCCATTTAACAATCAATTTATTTCGCAATATTTTCGGTTTTGTGCTTCATCGATCCTTATAGTATGGCTGCCCTGCCGCATCGGATGGCAAGTTTTGCAAGTGCTATTTTCTTCAATACTCACTAAATGAATATTCATTCAAATTTCGAGTACGCTGAGGTAGGCATCGCCTGTCCGAAATCGAAGCCATTCGAACCCTAATTGGCTTGACCTCATTGACTGAGGAATTCTGCAACTTGGTTGCAACTTGCAGCTCAACAATACATAGTAGTTACTTTGCCTTTTTAAAAATAACAAATTCTGGTTACTGGGACTCGAGGAAAAAAGGAATTTCATGTAGTTCTTGATATTAAAAAAAATATGAATACAACTTTTACAGCTTCAGTTTAGATGTTATTGTTAAAGTTAGTTCTCTATAAAGAAACTAAACGAGACTAGTAATGAATACTGGGGAATACAAGTTATATAAATAAAAGCATCTCGAAATACATACAAATATGAGTATTTGGATTTTAAGTAATAAAATATATTAAAATTCAACTGTTATAGTTACTTTTCTCTTTTTTTGAAAAATACTCTGGACATATACAAAATAAGTACGTTTTAAAATAAAAGCTTTTGAGATACATTTACATCTAGATTTAAGTACAAAATTCAGCAGATATTTTTGGTGTCCTAGCTTGGTTTTTATCGGAAGATTATCTTCAATGTGTACAAATAAATAAATAAAATTAATAATAATAAAAGCTGTTCAAGATCGTATATTAAGAGTATCTACGAATGGAGTATTTTACCACTTGCTGGAACCCTTCTCCAAAAGACTGTGGAAAATCGATCCCGGTTGCTGTTGGAGCACCCTTGGATTCCCATCCTCGACAATGCGGCCCTGGTCAAGCACGATTAGTCGGTCATAATCCAAAATTGTTGTCAGGCGATGCTGTGAATTGTTATATATATGTATATACAATATAATTAATTTATTCCAACAGGATTAACTGCAAACTCACGGCAATGGTAATAATGGTGCGACCCTGGAAGGCCTCATCCGCTGCCTTGAGCAGTGCATTCTCCGTGCTGCTGTCCAGAGCACTTGTTGCTTCGTCCAGGACGAGGCACACGGAGCCCCGTAGTATGGCACGTGCCAGACAGAGTAACTGCCGGTGTCCAGCACTCAGGTTAACGCCCCCATCGCAGATCACCGTGTCTAAGGATTAAATAATAAGAATTACAATTTAAAGTAAATTTATCGATACAAAATATAATGATTAAATGACTAAACTTATGTTTTATGTACGATATAACTACGAGAGGTAACAAAGAAAATTGAATTCCTGATTTATCGTAGTCTCTGAATACAAATGTGAGTGGACAATATATAAAAAGCTATTCTAATATTAATTGGTAATAAGTATATAAATACATACATTATAATGAGATTAAGCAATTAAATTAATCAATGAATAAGAGTTCTTTCCTAAATAGTTTAAATTTATTATAAACAACCCATTAATAATATATTTAAAGGTGAAAACCCTTTGTTAATATCCTTTGTCTAATTAAAACATTCGTATTATACATACCCCCAATAAAATATACCCATTAATTAAGCTCCAGTTCAATTAACTTAACCATCTGATTGACAGAGCTTATTTAAACTGATTGACATGAACATTAAATTTAAAATTGAACAAGAGATTGAGCAATCACTCAATTTCCAACGAAAAATCTATAAAAATAGCAGAGTTGAAAAGTACACAAAAATATAGTTGGTATTCAATCAAGAGGATAACACCAAAAAAGCATCAGCTTCCGCAGCAAACGTCGCAAAACTATTGGCTTCTGCCTTCTCCTCAATAAAATGGAATAAAATATCATGACTTTTCATAAGGCAAATGCTGATCCCAAGGACAGCAAAAGCCACTCGGAGTGACTGTGTTTATTCGAAACGTCAGCAGGAAATAGAAAAGAAAGACAAAATCACACACTCACCCAGACCAAGAGGCAGGTGCACATTGACGAATTCCTTGAGCTGAGCCAACTCAAGGCAGTTCCACAGACGCAGGTCCTGGTAGTAACCGCGTGGATCAAGATTTTCACGTATGGTTGCATTGAACAAATGCACATCCTGGGGAATTATCGACAGTCTCGTTCGCAGCTCGTCTGGTCGAATGCGTTCAATGTCCACATCATCGATGTAGATGTGGCCTTTGGTCGTTTGTAAAACACCGAAAAGGGCCAGACCCAGAGATGATTTGCCACTGCCAGTTCGACCACAGATGCCAATCTGTAAACCAAAATTCCATAGAGATTGAATAGTTACAGTTTAACGGAGATTTTTTGATATGCCACAAGAGCTTGAATAGTTAAGGTAAAATTTAATTAAACCCTGACGATTATTTTAGGTATTTGCTTTTTAATCTGCATTGCAACCAGGTGGAGTCATTTTTATATATAGTAATTACTCTCCACACATATGCAAAGTGTTTTTTCTATAATCAATCAAAATTCCAGCATATTCGTCAACTGAGAACAATTAAAACCTATTAAGCGCTTTAGCGGGGTTTAAGAGAACCAACTGAACTGCAATATCGCTTTGTCCTCATTTTTTGATTTATTGTCATAGTGATTTTTTCAATTTTATTGTTCAAGATAAATTGACTATCTCTATCTATCTCGTTGTTTCTTTTTTTTGTATTCCATTCACAGTTTAATTTTAAGCCCCAATCAATAATGCTGGCATCTGGCCATAAAATATTATGGCGGTAGTTAAAGGCAAAGTGTACAATTAGTAACAGTCTGTTGAGTAGAAAATTCGTTGATGTGATTTGCTTACTTCTTGTGTATCAATCGGAAAATACATATAAATTTTTCCTGCTTACCCTTTGTCCTGCGGGAATCTTTAATGTCAAGTCACTGATGACATTTTGCTTCTGTCCTTCATATCGCAGGCTCACATTCTCGAAGCTGATGTCTCCCCTTTGTGGCCAAGAAATGGGAACACTTTGGTCTAAAAGACAGATTGGTTATAAGTTTGACAGGGAGTATAGAATAGAAACTTATTATAATATAATGCATTTAAAAGTTGAATAATGTTAAAAAGTTAAGTGGAAGATTGGGTAGGTAGATTATTAATTATTTAAGTAAAGTGGATATATTAATCAACTTAATCAAGCTCACCTATTATTACTTTACTTGGATCAAAAACCACAAACAATCAGCATTTAAAGTAATTCTGGATCCCAACTAACTTAATTATGAATCGAAAAAACCTTTTGAGCTCGAATGTAATTACAGCCGGTTCAATGAAGCACATTTAAGATGCTTTGGGGCAGTGGCCAAAAGAGCGACTAACTTGCTCATACTTACAGCGCTCCAACTTCCTGGCCTGGACGACCTTCCCGTCCTGCGGTGGCTGTTGCTTATCTTTAATCACCGACGACGTCTTTGTCGTCGCCAGCTCCACCTTGTCGCCAGCTGTCGCCGTGCGGAAGTGGAAGTTTAAGTGATTGCCGTCGCCGGTTGCATTGCCTGCATTTAATTTATCAGCGTTTGCTCCAGCTCCAGATCCGGCACCTCCTCTTGCCCCAGTTCCATTTCCATCCCCTGAACCAGCTGCCGGTCCATCTTCATCAACATCACCGGCAGCTGTCGTTGCGCCTGGGTAAACTTTGTCATCGGCTTTCGGTAGGGACGACCTATCGACTTCACCGCTCACATCTTCACCATCGTCCTTGTCGTCGTCGTCGTCGTAGGTCGTCGGTTCGTCGGTGTCCGCATCCTGTCCCTGGGCATAGTGGGCGATGCGTTCCACGGAGCCCGCATACATCTCCATATCAGCCAAAAGTTTTACAACCCAATTAAGGTAAATCGGCACCAACAACGTGTAGTTTATGGCCAGACCCACCAGCGATGGCGATGGCTTCAGCTCCGACTCCGTTGGGCTTTTATTGACAGCATAAGTTTCGGATTCTGTCCCGCTGCCAGGCGATTGCCTGTAGCGTCCATAGTGGCTGCAACTGACGCTTGCCGTGGCCAGGGCCGTAACGGTGGCCACAAAAACAATGCATCCTCCCAAATAGTCCTGCGGGTGGTAGGTGGAAATACATTAAAGTGTGCCATGTGATTAAGAGGTGGAGAAACAGAGAGAGAGAGAGATCGGAATCTGGAGGACTCACACTCAGTTGTCATGACAAGGTTAAGGTCGTGTTATGGCTGGAATTTCTTTGATTGCATTAGAGATTTAGAGTAAAGCACTTGAAACGCATTAAGAACAGTGTGTTTTCTTTTACATTGTCATGTACGTATAATATTCTGCTTTAAGCTGAGCAAAGATAACGAAGGGAATCTATACCTGATATTATTTCTCTAATCTTATCTATATCATATCAAAAATGCAATATCATACAGTTTAAGTTTGAATTGGGAAAGATATAGCATTCGATTTTAAAGACAGACAGTAGTTTGATATATCAAAGAGGATATCAAATCTTTAATACACTTAAATTATATTTTTTTAATAGTTGTTTTATTGATATAAAACTATACTATCTGTCATCCCTAATCCTGACTTTTGCCCGCCTAAATATATACTTTTGAAATCTTTGATCAATATTTAACTAAATATAAGCCCGTCAATTATATAAGATGACTATTTAAGGCTAATCTCTCCATAATAATCTAATATATATTTACCAAGGATACACCCAACCAGCGATGGCTTGTGTTTAGCAAAGCATAAGCAATTGTATTTGCCTCGAGACGTTTGAACAGAATCTCTGTGAACCGAGTTTGCTGATTATAAGCTCGTATAGTTGTCACACCCTGAATAGTCTCCGAAAGATGAGATATAACCGGTGAGTTGGTTGTATTTTCAATGCGCTGCAGTTCCCTGAGAATAAGAAATTAAAATAATAATAAAAACAAATATATAAAACCTTAGATTAAACTCACCGTGCCGAGCACCTGAAGAACTTTTGTATTACATAATAGGCCCCACAGATGGGCAGTGTGAGGACCAGAAACCAAGGGGTGATGGTCACATTTATCAGGATGGCCGACAGGCAGAGCAAAGTGAATTGCAGCAATCGTTGGCCAGTGGCCGCAATTTTCTATGAACACAAAAGCGCATAGTTATGGGTTATTTAAGATATATACCTTCGATTCAAACCACATAGGTCATGGCCTGAACTACAATAACAAGAACAACAAAATATAAATACAAAATGTAGACCAAACGTGCTTATCGTCGGCCCATCTTAATCAAAGGGGCCAACTTCGTGCCCGTATATATTTCATGCCAATGTTAAAATGAAAATGAACGAGAACTGATGGCTAAAACCGGCACGATTCAATGGTAGAGGAGAAAAGGGGTCGGGGTCAGAGGTAGGAACGATGACAATGGATAACAGAAATAACAAATCTCACCTTATCAATGACGGCCATATCGTTGCTGAAACGATTCACAATACGTCCGAGCGGCGTCACTTGGAAAAAATGCAACGTTTTATGCAAAATCGTTTGCAGCAGCTTATCGTGCAAATTACGACGAGCATTACAGCCGGCCCATTGTCCGGCCGGTGTTGATACCAGGGCCATTATAATGCAAACACACGAAATTGCAGCATACATGCGAAAATAGTACGTGACTTCGTGGCCCTCCTCCTCGATGGCATTCTGTCCAACAGCTTTTGCTCCGACTCCTGCACCTGCAGCTGCTCCTGCTCCTACTCCTACTCCTGTTGCTGCTCCTACTCCTGCATCCTGGCTCTTCACGTGAGCATCGCTCCAATGGCGCAGGCATACGTCCGTATAGACACGCAAACACTGCCAAATTAGTGCGGTGATAAAAAAGACAGTGATTATGGGCAGACCGGCGGCTCGTATGTACATTAGATATATGTCGTCCGATATTTTGCCATATTTGCGTTCGGTGTAAATCGATGTCGTTGATTCATTGGCGACATTGGACGCAGGAGTAGCCGCCAGCACGTGTCCTTCGCCTCCATCCGCAGGAGCCAACGAAGTCACGTTCTCCTCTGATTCTTTGTGGGATGCTGCTACTGATTCGCCATTGTCAGCGCAATTTATTGTGGTACCTTTGGAGTCAATATTTACACCTGGATTTTGTGTGGGGAAAAAGACGGAAAAAGAGAATGAGATGTGAACCTTTGAACGTTATCTGAGTGATAATAAAGAAAACATAACTATATCGATTAGATAACTATTATTCTGGCCTTCTAAACATTCAAATGTAATTCTTTCTTTAAGTTATGCCTAAAACTAAACAAAGATTGTTTCAAGAAGCAGAGTTCGATATAAATTGTTTATTTAACAAATAACTTTACTTTTAATATGATAAATGTTTGATACTAAATATCTAATTGTAAAACTATACACAGCCACCACAATAAATTTAAAATCCTATTATAAATCCAATCAAAAATTAAAACTATTTATTGCAACGAATAAAGAGATATGTCTGCGACTTTTTAATTGAAAACTATAAACTTGAATTGATTGACTTTTCCGTCAATTAAAAAATAAACGAAAACACACTAGTGTCTGATTTAAAAGCAAACGGATTTTGGGTTTACTGATGATTGACAGAGGTTGTGAGGTTGTGAGGAAAACATCATCAAGTAACTTGTTGTCAAAGCCACATGAGACCGCCCACATCAATTATAAGTACCATCTTACCGTTTAACTTCGAGAGTTGGCAGAGTCGAAACTAATTGAAAGGGAAGCTCACATCCTGGATGCAGATTTGCTTGGCGGAAAGGAAGGAAGGATGACATGGGACTCCATTGAATGGAGTGACACTTGCAGCACTGATTAAATCGAAAGTTTTCACTGCGAACCCGCTGACTTATCAGCCAAATATTGGTGGATCAATGCATCAAGTTAAGCCAAAGTTTCCCTGCTGCAAGTTTTCGAGCCCTGGAACGCTGTCTCCTTTAACTTGACTTGCCGCCGCCATTGCCACTGCCTCTGCCGCCTGGGAGCTCAAAACTTTTAAAATCAAAGTTGATTTAAGTTTTAAGCTACACACACGCATGCAGCCAGGAGTAAAATTATAACGAGGAGGAGGAGTATAAGGTTCCCCGAGTGAATTGCCAGACAGACAGGCCAAGGAGGATAATATTCCAATATATATTGTGCGCATCGTGTTTGCAGTTTTCACGCCCAAACTAATCAATATTCATTATCATCGATTTCTAAGCATTATCTCGTTTTCATTATACATTTAAAAACTAAGGAAAACAATTTCTTGTTAATGCCCTCTGGGTGGGTTATTGATTTTATGAGATTATACTTATACTACTTTGTAAGTAATGATTATGAGGGCTTTGTCACTAAAGTATTCTTAGAAGAAAATACAAAAATTACTTACACTTTTTGGACTTTTCCTCAGACTCTAGCTGCACCTCACCAAGCTTGGGGTTTTGTAAGGAGATTGGCTGGGGTACAAGGTCGGTTGTTGGGAAATGCAAAATGGGCGGTGATTCCTCAGAAATACTCCTGTAAATTAAAGTAAAAGTGTGGTAAATAATAAAGAAATTAATTGCATGAATTAATCTTGTCTCACTTACAAAATGGAATTGGTGGCGCTCAGCGGGTGATGATGATTCTTTGGCTTATTGGAACGCCGCATGGACATGCGTCGCAAGAATTGCTGGAAGCTGCCCCGAACTTGATCCTCTCCGTTCGTGTTCGTCCTGGTTCCCGCCTCCGTATCCTGTAAGTCTGCCTCCGCCTTGGCCACCTCTATGGCCGGTGGTGATGATGCATTCCGCGACAAAGGCTGATGCTGGACATGCTGCGGTGGCTGCCAGGATTGGACGCGGGGTTCTGATGGCACAATGGCCACATCACTGCCATCCACACTGCTCTCCGCATAACTGCTACAACTGGTGGCCAGGGCACTGCGATTGAGGACATCTCCGCTGTTGGAACTTGAAGCAGAAGTGGCTGTCAGAGTGCTCAGACCGCTTAGACGATGCCAAGAGTTAGTTGTCCGGCTACCACGACGACTCAGGGTGTGTCGGCGTCGAGGTCGCATAATAACATCATCTCCTTGGCATTCGTCGATCGGCAACGGAGCATCGAACATCAGATGCCTTGAGCCATAAATACTGGAACGCTTCCTCTGCAAGCCACTGTAGCCACCACAGGATCCCAGGGAATAGGACTATCAGGAAAGGCAATTTAGTAACCAAGAAACCTTAAATATTATAAGATCCTACCACAGGCACTTGATCATCCTCTTCATCCTCCTCGACCACATGAGATGATATATTGGTCACCGATATGCAACCACTGCCATCGATGGCATCTGCATTGGAACCGCCACCTGAATCCATGGTCACAGAGATGGAACGTTGTAGTCCCAGTTTGCTTACATTTCTCAGAAGTTTCCAACGCTCACAGGCTGTTCGATCTGTTGGACTTATATAAAAAAAATATTTAAAAAATTAATCATTAAATCAAAAAAATATTTATATTATATACTTACTTTTGATTGGAATTATCTTTCTTGGCATTTGCCAGGGCTATCAAAGAGTTCCATTTGGCCGTGATACGAGGATGCTTTTGTTCTATTTCAGAGTAAGTGCCACAAGCTTCAACACGACCTTCTTTCATAACAATTAACTAATAATTCATAAGAATTAGAAATAAGAAAATAGGATAAATAAATAATTATCTATGAGCAGTAAGTATCAATGAACATGAAGTATCTCTAACCAGTAGGTAAATACGATCAATAAGTATCTATGACCAGTTAGTAACTTTGAACACTAATAAACAATGACTTGCAACTTTTGTAACACAACACATGCCTGAGGCTTGGCCGGCAGCAGCCACTTCGTTCCGGGGATGTTAGAACAACTTGGGAATCATATGCACAGATGTGCGAGATTTGTTTTGGATCAAATTTAAGAACAAGCTATTGAATGAAACTATTCAGTTGATCGTCTATATACTTTTACAAGATTATAAATCGGAACATCCCAAATCGGTGGACTATATATATACATATATAAAGCTGACATAGGAACGATAGGACGATTTATAAAACTATGATCAGTAATTAACCATGATCAGTAAGTTTCTATGAACTGTAAGTAACTCTGAACATTTATTATCTATGACCAGTGAGCAACTATTATCAGTAAGTATCTATGACCAGTTACTAACTTTGAACACTAATAAACAATGACTTGCAACTTTTGTAACACAACACAAGCCTGAGGCTTGGCCGGCAGCAGTCACTTCGTTCCGGGGATGTTAGAACAACTTGGGAATCATATGCACAGATGTGCGAGATTTGTTTTGGATCAAATTTAAGAACATGCTATTTGAATGAAACTATTCAGTTGATCTTCTATATACTTTTACAAAATTATAAATCGGAACATGCCAAATCGGTGGACTATATATATACATATATGAAGCTGACATAGGAACGATAGGACGATTTATAAAACTATGATCAGTAATTAACCATGATCAGTAAGTTTCTATAAACTGTAAGTAACTCTGAACATTAATTATCTATGACCAGTGAGCAACTATTATCAGTAAGTATCTATGACCAGTTACTAACTTTGAACACTAATAAACAATGACTTGCAACTTTTGTAACACAACACATGCCTGAGGCTTGGCCGGCAGCAGTCACTTCGTTCCGGGGATGTTAGAACAACTTGGGAATCATATGCACAGATGTGCGAGATTTGTTTTGGATCAAATTTAAGAACATGCTATTTGAATGAAACTATTCAGTTGATCTTCTATATACTTTTACAAAATTATAAATCGGAACATGCCAAATCGGTGGACTATATATATACATATATGAAGCTGACATAGGAACGATAGGACGATTTATAAAACTATGATCAGTAATTAACCATGATCAGTAAGTTTCTATAAACTGTAAGTAACTCTGAACATTAATTATCTATGACCAGTGAGCAACTATTATCAGTAAGTATCTATGACCAGTTACTAACTTTGAACACTAATAAACAATGACTTGCAACTTTTGTAACACAACACATGCCTGAGGCTTGGCCGGCAGCAGTCACTTCGTTCCGGGGATGTTAGAACAACTTGGGAATCATATGCACAGATGTGCGAGATTTGTTTTGGATCAAATTTAAGAATATGCTATTTGAATGAAACTATTCAGTTGATCTTCTATATACTTTTACAAAATTATAAATCGGAACATGCCAAATCGGTGGACTATATATATACATATATGAAGCTGACATAGGAACGATAGGACGATTTATAAAACTATGATCAGTAATTAACCATGATCAGTAAGTTTCTATAAACTGTAAGTAACTCTGAACATTAATTATCTATGACCAGTGAGCAACTATTATCAGTAAGTATCTATGACCAGTTACTAACTTTGAACACTAATAAACAATGACTTGCAACTTTTGTAACACAACACATGCCTGAGGCTTGGCCGGCAGCAGTCACTTCGTTCCGGGGATGTTAGAACAACTTGGGAATCATATGCACAGATGTGCGAGATTTGTTTTGGATCAAATTTAAGAACAAGCTATTTGAATGAAACTATTCAGTTGATCTTCTATATACTTTTACAAAATTATAAATCAGAACATGCCAAATCGGTGGACTATATATATACATATATATAGCTGACATAGGAACAATAGGACGATTTATAGAACTATGATGAGTAATTAAGTATGACGATTAATTAACTATGATCAGTAATTAACCATGACCAGTAAGTTTCTATGAACTGTAAGTAAGTCTGAACATTAATTATCTATGACCAGTAAGTAACTATTATCAGTTTACATCTATGATCAGTTACTAACTTTTAACACTAATAAACAATGACTTGCAACTTTTGTAACACAACACATGCCTGGGGCTTGGCCGGCAGAAGTCAATTCGTTCCGGGGATGTTAGAATCAGTTGGGAATCATAAGTACAGATGTGCGAGATTTGTTTTGAAACAAATTGCAGCTATTTTAATGGAACTATTGAGTTATTATTCTGTATAATTTTACTAGTATATAAATCGGGGCATGGCGAATCGGTAGACTACATATATAAACATATCAATGTCTGCCATAGAAAGTATCGTAAAATTTTTAGGAAAAAAAAATCATAACATTTCTAGTTTTCTATAGATTTTCATCAAATTTGATATATAGCTATTATGTATTAATCTAGAATTTTGTATACAATTTTCTGAAAATCGGACTACTATATCATATAACTGGCATACAAACGATCGTTAAAAATATAGGAAAATGAAAAACGGTGAAGGTAAAACGTGCCAAAGTTAGCTTACTTTCTTGTTTATCTTTACAACTTACATATTCAGCCTCTTTAATGCGATGTAGTTGTTGTGTCACAAGAATAAAGGTACGATTTGATTTTTGCAGCATTTCACGAACACAATGTTGAAATATATGATCCCCCACTTCATTATCTAGGGAAGCCAAGGGATCATCCTATAATGTAGAATAATAAATACAATTATAAGAAAGGATATAATAGATATGTAAACGAAATTAATAAAATAGGTATTGTATTATATTAAATTTAAAAAATTTAGTTTCTCAGTAAAACTTCTTTAATTTTACTTTGCAATGAGACAATTTTACAATACACTTTAAAACAAACTATTCTCATTAGGAAATCGTCTTTCCTTAATCACTGGGATGCAGCATATTATTGATCTGCACCCATTTTATAAACTCCTCACTTTCGATACCCGCATTCAGGGCCTCCTGCTTCAAGGTGGTTCCATTCCTGTGAGCCGCCATGGCAATTGCGGCGGATCGCTCATAGCCAATGTGGGGACTCAGAGCCGTGACTAGCATCAACGAGGTCTTTGTGAATTTGTCAATCCTACACGTATTAGGCTCTATGCCCTCCAGGCAGTTGGCACAAAAGGATCTCATGCCGTCGCCCAGAATCGTAACGGATCGCAGGACATTGGCACCGATCATCGGCATAAAGGCATTCACCTGGAACTGTCCGCTACTTGCGCCCACCGAAACAGCCACATGATTGCCCATCACCTGGGCACAGATCATGGTAAGGGCCTCACACTGACTGGGAATCACGATGCCGGGCGAAAGCGGGATAGCCGGTTCACTCTGCGGCAGATGGAGCTCACCCAGTCCGCTGCGGGGTCCCGATGCCAGGAGGCGGATATCGTTGGCTATTTTCAGCAAACTAGCCGCTATGGTGTTGAGTTGTCCGTGTAATTCAACCAGGGCATCACAGGTGGACATGGACTCGAAGACATTTGGAGACTTCACAAATGGCAGACTCGATATCTCGGCGATCCGTTTAATGCAGGTTTCTTCAAATCCCTCCTTTGTGTTCAGACCCGTGCCCACATCATTACCTCCGATGGGCAGCTCATACAGCCGGCTCAAAGCCGAATCCAATCGATCTCTGCCATTCGTAAGTTGCTGGTAATAGCCACTAAACTCCTGGCCAAGGGTCAGCGGCACAGCGTCCATCATATGTGTACGTCCTATCTTGACAATGGATTCCCAATCGTGCATCTTCTTGCACAGCAAATCAATGAAGGTCCTCAGAGCAGGATACAAATTCTCCTGCAGCTCCATGGCCACGGCGATGCGAACGGCCGTGGAGAAGGCGTCGTTGGGGCTCTGCGAGAAATTGACATGTTCATTGGGGTCCACCGGCTCTTTGGTGCCCATCTGGCCGCCAAGGATCTCAATGGCACGGTTGCACACCACCTCGTTAACATTCATATTGGTATGCTCCCCAGAACCCGACTGCCAGATGACCAGGGGAAAGTGCTCTTCGTCGTACAGCTTCCCAGATATGACATCGTCACAGGCCTTGGAGATGGCCTCGCACAGACGCTCCTCCATGCCACAACCCTTGTTCGCCTCCGCAGCTGCCTTCTTCACCACACCCATGGCCTTAATAATGGATCGCTGGGAGTATGCAGGATTTAGGAGTATTTCTAGATATAATTTTATGGATATAAATATACTGGCATGCGCTCTTCAACTCCACCAATGGGAAACTTCATCAGTGATCGCATGGTCATCGGTCCATACATCCGATCCAGGGGAATGTGCACAGGACCCATGGAATCAAATTCAACCCTAGTATCTGGAACAATCAGCCGGGCCAGCTTGTACATTAAGCTAAAGATCTCCTTTTGGTCGAACGACATTTTGAAAGGAATTAAAAATATATAATAACTGATTCGAAGGGGAGTATAATTCTAAGGCCTATACTGATAAGTCAAAGGTGGTTTGATTAAAGGAACATTATTGCTAAAATTAATTAAAGAATTTAAACCATCTTACCATTATGACCACATTAGCCGATGAATATATAGCTCGAGCTATGGCAACTCGCTGCCTTTGACCACCGGAAATATTAATGCCACGCTCTCCAATAATGGTTAGATCGCCCCTGGGCATTAGTTCAATATCAGGCTTAAGAGCGCAGGCTTCTATCACAAAATCATATCGTTTGGGTCGAAAGGACTCGCCAAAAAGTATATTCTCCCGAATGGTGTCATTCAAAAGCCATGGTTGCTGAGAGACATAAGATATAGTACAGGTTCTGTGAAGTACAAAAAAATAAGGAATATTTAATAACCATTTAATATGATTAACTTTCTTCTGTGTTTGGTTATTAAACAAGTTCTTCAAATCAGTTGCAGCACATTCAAGTACAAAGGAATTCCTATTTAATATATGTGCCAGACAGTACATATGGAAGAAACATAAATTTGCAAGCCAAAAAGAGAGAAAAGACGCCTAGGAAACCCTGAAGATACCACAGCGAAAAAACGTACTCGAACTAACATAGACATTTATTACAGTAATTGAAATTATTGCACATTTGCCGTTTGCCAAGGCAAAAGGATACTGCGTTGGAGACGGAGATGGAAATGAAAATGGAGCAGTCCTGGTTTCCTCCCCAAGGAAGAAGCAATAGAAGCAAAGGCCACAGGATCGAAGTGCACACCCGTCTTCGTTTCCGCTCCGCGATTTCCACTTGTTAAATGCATTTGTATATGGAGCCTGGCCTCCTCCTCCCACCCATTTCCCGGGAAAGCTGCAGCCTGCCACGAAGCCATTTTTATTTTATGTGCAATAAAATTAACAACGTACACACAGGCGTTTTGTGATAAATTACTGAATCACGTGGCGTGCATTGAAACGGCTGTTAAAATATGTTGAATGACTGCGGCGGAATTCGATTGCTGCAACAATGAAAGCTTAAACTATTCCACCTGCTAGTCGTGACTTTCCTTAATATTCCAGAATACTTTAAATATTTAGCTAGACTGTATGACTAAGCCTCTATAACCTGGTAATGTAAAAACACAATTTATAATCAATTAATACAAATTAAGCTGGCTACCTTTTGCTGATTTAATTATGCTATTTAATTTGAAAATGGGAGTAAATCTCCAAATTGGCTGCATTAAAAATCGATCTAAAACTAGTGCTACTTCCCCAAATAAGCTATATATTTTGCGGCTTGGGTAATCTGCATACGAAAATAGGTGAAAATTATGCAATTAAATGTGATAAATGGGCAAACAAAGTTATCCTCTACTACTACTACTCCTGTGGTACTTGCGGGGGCGTAGATACTGAAACTGCTGTTGGCAGAACTGAAAATAAGCACATAAATAGCTGGGTAAATTTACATGAGCAGCATGTTGAGCTGGGTGTGGCGGTGGCCTGTGTGTTGACAGACAAGGAAACGTGCTTAATCTTGGCCACAGGGACATTGTCTAAGGTATTCTCCAAGAGTTCTGCCAGCTTAAAATAGGAGAAGGTTTTTGAGCTGAAACTGAAAGGCAATGAAGCCTAAGATAACAACAACATACGGTTGATATCGATTTAGGTATTTAATTTGAATTACGATTTTTTTTAATTTTTGTAATTAATTAAAATCTGAGAAGGAATAAGTTATATATAGAATATAACACTTTGAATATCCAAAGTAATACCGAAAACAATCAGAATGTGGAATCTGTCGAGAAAATGTGTTATGCTGTATTTTAGTCTTTTTCCTTTCCTTTTACATTATAACAAGTTGGGATATATATTAATCCACATACTTAATTTATGGTTCTATATTCTCTTTAAAAATTTCTCTTCTAATTAAATTGATTTTCCCCAAATATATACTCACTTGTGCCAAAACATATTGCCCACCAGCAGGGGCATTTCCATGAGCAAAGCTGACAGAAGCGATGTCTTTCCGCTGCCATTTTTTCCCACCACAATTGTCAGTTTTCCTTTGGGCACTATAATTCCAGGAACATGCAATTGCACCAATGGCATCTGACTCTGTGGCTTCCATGTGAAGAGTCCATCGTTGATCGACACAGCAATGTCATCGGGCATTTTCAGGAGCAAGGAATCTCGACGCCAGCTATCTGTATTCCTGGCACGCACCACCGAGAATTCCACGGGCTTTTCCATTCCTCCGCTAGTGCCACGCATTTTTGGAGGCCGAATGGCCACATAGGGTGTATTCCGTAGGAGTTCACGTCGCTGTTGCACTAGTTTGTTGTGACCCAGCTCCTGGACAGAGGACAAGGCGGTGTCGACGCCAACGGGCTCATCCTCGTTGCTCTGCAGCAGGGGAGTGGATGTGGTGGGCAATGGCAGCTCCACGGCGGTTTCAGGAACTCCAAATTGTTGGGCCAACCGCTTCTCATTCAGTTTGTTCTCCGCCTGCGCCGTGCGCATCGTCATGTTGGACTTCTCCTGGGTCTCGTACATATCCAAAGAGGCATCGCTTTTGCTCAGTATTCTGGCCATATTTCGAATACCCTCAAACTGTTTGTGGATCTCACTGGACTTTAGGAAACGTTCCAAACGACGGGTGGACACTCTAGCTGCTATGATGATGGGCACCGTGATGGGAAAGATCAGGAGAGGCACTGTGAGCTGCTGGAACAGGGCCAAAGATGAGAAGAGCCGGCTGGCATTCAAATCAAAGTCCTGATCCCGCTGTAACCACACATAGACACCCAGAGTCACAAAGGTAATCAAAACGGTGGCGATATGGGTAAGAACAGCTTTTTACAAAAGTTAATTTAATTATTTCAAAGTAAAAAAGTATGTAAAAAATCCATTACCCATTAGTGTCCAAAATGTGGCATCCTTGTTGAGATACTTGAGTTCATTCTTTCTTGCCTCTTGAATCTTCTTGAGAAACACCTCATCCCAGGCATTGAGTTTTATGACTTTGATGCCAACCAGAGTGTCATGTATTTTCTTCAAACGTTCATCGGTGTATTTCTGTAAATATATAAACAAAATACTGCTGTTAAACGTTTTCTTAAAGTATTAAAATATTAATAATAATATTAATAAATAAATGTGTACATACTGCGATAATCTCGGCGTTCTTTGACATTGCATTTCCAATGATGAATTGCAGAGGCGTCATTATCAGAATGCAGACAATAGAGCCAATTACTGCACTTATTCCCAAAGTCAGATACAACAAATATATAACCACAATATCTGTAAAAAGAACATTTTAACAAAGATTTATAGTTAGTAAATATAATGTAATTAAATACAGTACAGAATTAACTTTAAGTCACGTAGCATCTTATTCCAAACATTAAGACAAGCATTTATATCTGCTGTAATATGCAATAACACATTAAATAAGCCAAATGTAATATCAAATTAAAGTTATAGCCTGGCTATTATATTATATATTTAACAAAAAAAAACATTTATTTTCGCTTTCCTCCAAGTCGAGAATTTGTCAAACGGCCAATGCTATAAATTAGGTTCATGTTAGCAAACATCAAGGGAGCCCCAAATGGCACACAAGTTGCTCATAAATTGTTAAAAACGATTAGACTATGCCAATCTCGGTACAAACTTTAAATGGAATGGCCCAGGCATAGTGGATGATCAAGAAGAATTGCATTATATTCGAAGTGTCCTCGGTCATGTGGTTGGTGATGCTGCCAATGTCATTGAAGCCATTTGAATCTAAAATTAAAAGTAATTTGGGTATTTGAAATTATTTGAATATTAGGAAAATATAATAAACAAATAAATAAACAGATCATTTTCAAACATTTCTTTAACTTGGTTATATATAAATTAGCTATGTGAAGGTTTGTAATAAGGTAATATAAAAAGAAAGTGGCTTTCCCTTAATAAAATTCTTTACTGTCATTTTATTGGGAATAATCACCTTCTTTTTAAATAAGGAAATGGATACTTTTAGTAACAATATTATATTATAAATAATTGTAAAAGTGTAACCATTTATTTTTCCCCAAATATGAATACTTACCAGTCGAATTTTCCACTTGCTCTGAAGTTCCTTTGGTGTCATCATTTTTAGGTTTCTCATCTGCATCACCACCCCCGCCCCAATTTAGGAGCAAACTTTTTCTATAAATCAGACCCTGCAGGGACGATTTAATCCTGAGCCCCGTCATGTTCAGGATGTGCGTCGAGGCCTGGGACAATGCGCCCTGCGTCAACGCGGCCAGCAGGACAATCCAAGCGATGCACCAGCCATTCGCCAACAGATCCGACCAGGTGCTGCAGTAAACCCTCACCTGGCCAATGTTTGTGCCAAAGACCTCGTCGAATTCGGTGCTCACACTGGAGGTGGACAGCAGGTTGGACTCAGAGTCATCATCCTCCTCCCGATTCCAATTCCCGACATCGGCATAAAGTTTTTCTATATACTGAACTATTTTCTGTATGGCCAGCGGTCCAATCAATGCAAATAAATCAGCGGCCAGCTTCAAAATGCCGCCCAAAGCAAACATGCGCCAACTGTTCTTTATGTAGCAATACCACAAGGATGGCGACGAGTTCGATTTTTTCTGTGGATCAAAGTTGGAAAATTATACGAGTGGATATGGATATGGATATGAATATTTGCTTACCACCTCCTCTGTATAAACATATAGAAAGTGGTCGTAATGGCTCCTGGCACTATCCTCCAATTTCATTTGCCCCAGATCCTCCAGCTCCAGCGGCTCATTGTAGCCCAGCCAGAGGAGAGGAGTCAGCCACCAGAAGCAGGATTTGGAATAAAATGTGGCCAGTGAATGCTTGTAGCCGATTTTGCCATGGTCATCCAATAGTCATCATGATAGCACTGCCAGAGAAAGGTATGGTCATATATTAATGTATTTAAATTATTTACTAATTAACTTGCATTGGGTAGATTAATTTATTTAAAAACTAGGAAGGCTGAACAAATGTAATATTTATCCTTAATAAAATATTATGTTAAATTCTAACTTTATAAAGTGCAGACTTCAATTATTCTAACTTATCATAATTCATTTGACTTGATAAATACATCCTTTTTGCTGAGCGTTTATTTTTAACTCTGAGGCTCGTCCTTTTGCCGAGCTAACATAAAGAAATAAATAAAATATTCGACAAGTATACAAAGCATTAAGCTTAAAATCTGCGCTTAACCTCAATTAAAATTTAAACATGCAAATCGCATTGCGATGTTGTCGCTTCCTCTCTTATTATGTCAACTTGTACTTATTTGGCTGTGGAATTAAAAAACAAGCTTCTGCCATTGCCACAGTCATAGGCAGTTACCTTGGTAGAAGTTAATCCTTATACACTAACTTAGAGACTTTTGATTTTTATATAACCAAGGCATAATTTCAAATGAATCTATAAATAACATAGTAATACTTACCTCTTTGTAAATGGTAAAACCATCCAGCGATGCCAAGGCCATCATGCACATGGCTGACACACCCACCAGGCACGTCTGAAGCTCCAGGACATCTTCGTAGTACACCAACTCGGACAGTTCGTTGGTGCGCAGGGCAAAAAGCACTACCTCAACGGCTGTACTTGCATACAGAAATACTGCAAAAATAAAAGAGGAGAAAACCCAAGGGGACAGGTGAATGAATACATTTACAGATGCTTCTGTCAAACAAAACTCACCTGTCGCCTTCTTGCGCTCCACCATGCGATGATACAGCATTAGCGTAAGTGTCAGCAGTGTGGCAAATAGTGCATTCCATGCTTCTCCTGAACCAATAACGATCAAGAAATTTCTTTCTCCAGGACCAAACTCAAAGAGCTGGTTGAGCTGACGGACACTGCGATGGGGCAGAAGGGTCCTGGCCAATTCCAGACTATTTGCACCCAACAGGAGCAGGGAAACGGCGGCACGTACATTGTGGAACATTAGCAATGTTTTATGGCATCTGCAGTAAAAGATTAATTATGAATATGCACAAAGGTTTAACAATAATTTTATTTATAAAGCCGCTTTCCTCCTTCATGAAAGTGAATCTGATTTTACTTGTATTTAAGGAACTATTTAAACTAAGAACTTTCACTTAGAACGAAATTGAAATTAATTAACTTATTCGCTGATAAACTTGTTTTTGTATAATCTTAACAGCATCTTATCTTCTTTCAGTAAATTTTCTATTAATAAATAGTATTAGTGGTATCGTTTGCTGACTGAAACAGAATTCATATATTAATAATATATTTTAATTAATTAAAGATCAAAGATTATTTCAAGCATCAGCATAACAACTATTCATTTTAGATTGTAGAAACTCTTAGCCTAAAAGCCTAAATATTTCTTTTGACACCATTTCATAAAATGTGCATTATACAAAACATAGAAATCATGCTCTAGGCAGCCGTCAGACAAATATCCGCCAATGTTTCTATAATTAACTGTAATTAATAATGATATTGATTTCGTATATCTGGGCTATTCATATTTATTTGTATTGAAATGTGCACCCTCAGCACAAAGTGAGGTGTAGATGCAATTGAGATTTCCACTCATTGAGAACACTTTGGCACGCGTCGCGTTATTCCATGAATTCCGTATCATTTGTGGGTTTTTATTTTAATTTCACTGTGTGGGATGCACATACAAAATATATTTCTCAATGACGAATGCACTTGAGTTCCCGGATATCAATTATTGGTTTTTAAGTGGATTTTTTTAAAAGTTACATAAGGAAGGTCAGAATATTTGATTTAATTATATTGTAAGGGAAAGAGTATGTTTTTTCTGGAGGAAAATCTGAGACTGTATTGTTTTAATCTATGCTTTACATCATTAATTAACAAAATTATTATTAATTTACAGTACAGTGTTTGGTCTTCAAAATATAAAAAGTTATTGATTATTAAAACTTTTTTTCTCAAAATATTAAACTAAACTTCCAAAAACTTTAATATTTAAAGAGTAAAAGAGTAATTTTGTTCAATATTTTAATTTTAATTTTAATTAATTTCCGATTTCCCTTATTAATTATGTTTCCAATATATTTCCATGCTAATATACGAGAGCTTTAATCTTGAAACAACCAAATTCAATTAGGAAACAACGCAGCCCATTTAAAATTAATTCCCGTATAAATCAAAGACATAAATCAACTTCTCCAGCTCCATGGTCATCTCTCTCCAGAATTTGTATAATCTACAAAAACGCATGTGCTAAATTTAAACAAATGTGCTCATTCGCCTACAAATACATTTGAGGGAAATATGTACATATTTAATTTGTTTTTAGTGGTGAATTTAGAACATGGATAGCAAAAAATATCTCTTACGATAATCTCAGGAAAACTCCATCAAAAGAGCTAGTGACCCTATTTTAGCACAAGCTTTTACACAATTTTAATGAGTGAAAATAGCGCTTAATGGAGAGTGCCAACTCATTGTAAACAATACAAAACACACATGTTTATTCGGTTGGGATGCAAACAAATAAAACACAGGGGGAATTCTTTAAATATAGCTTTAAAATGTGTCAATACTGCTATTCGTAGGGTTTTGAAAACTTTGTGGATTTAGAAAACACTTGTTTATTCAAATGATTTATTACAATTGAAATATTGTACTTATAATAAAACTCACTTTTATATCTTTGCCAAACAAATAGCCATCCAAAAAGTAACAGAATAATGCTCATACACGTAAAAACACGCTTCACACGGTCAATGCCGCAAACATCTGTATTTAAATTATCGTAAACAGAGCGTACATGACCATTTAAATGATCGCAGTGTATTATATTGAACAACTGCTTCATAATGGCTAATAAAACGAACTCAAATAGCCCGCAGCCCCGTAGGAATTTAATTGTTTTCTAAAGTTTACACTGGCGCCGGATCTTTGACTCTCCTCCCTCAAAAATGATTTCACTTTTTTGATTTCATTCCAAAAATGTATATTATTGTCTTCCCGTTGCGCATATTCCTTTATATGTACATATATTTTCCACAATTAAATACGATTCTTGAGGCATTCACTTTTCAACTTTTTCGCGTTCAACAACAACAGGTTGAGTAAAATTCAAAAGAAATTCTCAATATAAACAAACTATTTCGCAATCGGGAATATGCACTGCGGTTTGTGATGCCGCAATATGTGTTGTGTGAGATGTATCCAAAAAAGAAAACTTTATTCCCATTCCAACTGAGAGGCCGTCGTCGCGTCCACAATTATTATTATTTAAAGTAATTTTTCTTATGCTTTTTTGGATAAACAAAATAGCAGCGAGAAGAGAGATATGGAATTGTGTTTTGTGGCGCACGTTTTCCGCGATTATGAAATCTTCTAGAGAAGAAAAGGCCGACTGACCGCGTCCGTGCATGGCAGCGCACTAAGCTCTTCGCGCACGCCGGAAAAATCACGAAGACGTTCGCAGCCACCCGAACTAGATCTGATATATATATATACATACATATATATTGCATTGATCATCGGGTTGAATCGTGCACGTGAGCGATTGAGGAAAGCTCTTCCTCCATGTCGGGCGAAAAAAAGAGAAAATTGTTAATTTTATTTGTTGATAAGTTTTGGGGGGTTGCAGTAGTTTCTGAGTGAGTTTTTGAGTGTTTTTTTAAGAGTATTTTAAGTGTCTCTTGGTTAATTCATATGTACATGATTTCAATGGTGAATTCTTGCCTGACTTCAAAGAAGAAGCCTTAAAGGTTTAAGAATGTACGATTGAGACACAGAAGTTCCCAATCATTTTATTACTAAATGTACATATATATATATTATAGTTTAAGTTTCATATTACATATTAACCAAATTATAATGGTATGGTACTTTATAAACCAATATTAAATAAATCTAAGAAGAAATACAAAAGAACATTGAAAATAAGATAAGAACAAGATTACTTTACATCTAGGTAATTATTGATGATAACAAACAAGATTAACATATCGAGTCTCTTACAGAAAATGTTCAGATTACATGAGCTTACTTCCTAATTCCAATATCACGTTAATTTTATGCTGGACGCAGCCAGCGTTCCGTTCGCTCTTACAAAGACAAGAAACTATACGGATGAGAAGTAGTCACAGCTGCCACACATGTTGTACAGGTGTCCCGAAGAGGGTTCAATAAAGAAGCGCAGGGCCTGAGTGCACTTTAGCTCGTGACTGGCTATCTGGTGGCGCAGCAACTTCTGGAGCTGTTCCATGTCAGCAGAGTGTTCAAACTGAACGCCACACTCGCAGAGGTAACCCCTCTTCTCACGCTGCAAGGGCTTCATCTGGCAAACGGGACACAGAACCTCCTTCTGCTGCTGTTGCTTATTATCTGGCTCTACGTAAAGCGTTTCCAGGTTCTGTTCGCCCAGGGCGTACCATTCATTCACATCGGAGAGCAGCTCGTCCAAGATCAGCTGCTCCAGCTCCAAGTCGTGCTCCAACTCACTAAGCTCCATGCGAAGAATTTCCCTGAGTTCCGCCTGTAAAGGGAAGGTGTTAGTGTTTGCTTAACTGATTTATATGGATTCCTTTAAAATACCAATTGTAATTCACGATTGGAGTCAGTGCAATGCTTGCGGGTTTCAATGATGCGCTTGCGGTACTTCTGGAACGGTTAATAAAACACTTTAATTTCTGCTTATTTGTTATTTGTATAGTTGCCTTACCTCACGCAGCATTTCGCGCAATTTGGGCATTTGTTTGCCCATCCTCTGCCTTCGGGCCACATCCTGAGCATGCCGTTTTTGTTCAACGGATGTGTGGTACACGGGGCTTTGTGTGGAATTCATTTGAACAAGCGAATTTTAAATTAAACAACAGTTTTGGATCAGCTGCCGGTAAGAAATAAGTGCAAAGTTAAAATTCCAATTGGTGTTCACGCTTTCCCACACGCCTGCCGTCTGTAAAGGTAATGATATATCAACTACAAAGCTCCTGAACAATAAAATAATGCTTTCAAATCAAAGAATTACTGAGCAGTAATAAAGTTATTAAAGAAAATTAAGGAACTCACCCAAAATCCACAAATTCGCGCACAATTGTTGATCTAGGGATGGTATTCTTTCGATAGTTGCCTATCGGCCAGTGTGACCGCACCTTCGATAAGTCGGCACACTGACCAACACTGGCACGCAGGGTTGCTTTGATCCGTTTTGACAGCTCATCCATGGTGTAGTACACGTTTCCGGTCTTTCTTTCCCTTTCTTTTACCAGCGTGTGTAGTGACCAGTAAGAGGTTAGTGCAATATTTTTGAAAAAAATACCCCTTAACTTGAGACAAGCGCGCTCAAATGGAACTGTTTTTCGCTGCCCACAGATGCCAGCTCCGGTCGCCAAGAAACCAGCAGCGAAAAAGCTGCCCGCTGTGCCGGAATCCAAGCTGAAGTTCAGCAAGAAACAAATCAGCAAGCGGGTCGCCGAGTCGAAACGTCGCCTGAAGCGTGCCGCCGTCATCGCGCTGCGCAAGAAGGAGAATCTGGTGCGTGCCGAGAAGTACCAGAATGAGTACATCAAGGCGGATCAGCGTGAGATCAAGCTCCGTCGCCTGGCCAAGAAGCGCAACCAGTTCTACGTGCCCGCTGAGGCCAAGCTGGCCTTTGTTATCCGTATCCGCGGGTGAGTAGTGTGTGTCATGTTGCCTCCAAGCCAAAGCCCTAATCTCTCCACCCGCTCGCTTGCAGTATCAACAAGGTGGCTCCCAAGGTCCGCAAGGTCCTCCAGCTGTTCCGTCTGCGCCAGATCAACAACGGTGTGTTCATCAAGCTGAACAAGGCCACGATTAACATGCTCCGCATTGCCGAGCCCTACATCACCTGGGGCTACCCCAACCTGAAGTCGGTGCGCTCGCTGATCTACAAGCGCGGTTTCGTGAAGCACAGCCGTCAGCGCGTGCCCATCACCGACAACTTTGTGATCGAGCGCAAGCTCCGTCAGGCGCACAACATTCAGTGCGTCGAGGATCTTGTCCACGAGATCTTCACTGTTGGCCCCAACTTCAAGTACGCCTCCAACTTCCTGTGGCCCTTCAAGCTCAACACCCCCACCGGCGGCTGGCGCAAGAAGGCTAACCACTACGTCAACGGTGGTGACTTTGGCAACCGCGAGGACCAGATCAACCGTCTGCTGCGCAAGATGGTCTGAGGAGGCAACGAGCGGCTAGCTTAACGCTTGTGTTGGACGACAGCAATTACGCGGTATGATGTATAACAGTGAGAGAAGAAATAAAAGTAACTTTTATAAACCACGAATTGCAGTTCAGTACAAAAAGAGCAGTGTTTTTGCTTCGAGAGGGTGTGTGTGCTGCGATGTGTGTTTACGTTGCATTCCCGCAGACTGCAGGTACATACCTGAAGGTGTTTACACTGCTTAAATTCACATTTGGCCTAGCAAGACGCTTACATTAGCTAATTTTCTGTTAGCTATCTAATAATTTGTTATTTTTTGATATGTTTTAGAAGTTCAATAGAAACACTTAGAAAGAGCACGAAACTTTCAATGGTTGGGCAGACTTGAATCTAATTAAGTAACCTGAAATTAATTTTTAAATCTAATATTACTACCTCCATAACTCTTCTAGTTTGTTTATGAATCAAATTGGCAGTCTTTAAAAGTTAGCATTTAGAAATTATTTTCAAATATCGAAAGCTAATTGTTTTCCATTTCCAAATATCCAAACCTTACTTAAAGATTTCTATAAAATTCTGAATAGCTGTTTCAAGTATTAATTAATTCAGTTATTCCTGTATAGTTTGATAGATCTTAAAAATGTTAATATTCCAAATTTGATTATGTACCTAAGGCCTGCTTTGTCTTATTTTTTTGTTTAATAGAACGAACACTTAATACTTGCCGCATTTATTTATTAAATTCTTTAAATAATACACAGATCTATATATTTTTCTACGCTCTTAAAGTTGTTTATTTTTGTTCTGGTCAAAATTTAAAGCGCGCTTAATGCTTAACACTTAAATGCAGACAGCATGCTAAATGGTGGGGGTGCCATTGAGGGGGAGAAAAAGTCAGCCAATCATCGCTTTATTGAATGTATCATTTGCCTTTCAGCTGGCAGTGGATTCTCTTTTTAGATAAATTTTTTACACATGTAATAGTCCAAAACAAAGGCGCACAAAAATAAAAGTGTAAGTAGTCAATATATAATCCTTGTGGGGAATATTGGCACCCCCTTCCGTTTCTTTTTTTTGTGTATAATTTAATTAATTGTAGACATGAAGCACATGCCGTAGTCCGTCTGTAAGATTCCCATTTCTACTGGTGTCCCCGGCCTGTGTGGGCGTCACATGAAGTCTGGATCAGGCGCTGTCCCCAGTACTCCTCCAGATCGAATGGCTTGAAGTTTTTCAGCTGATTATCAGATTCGTTGCAGTAGATCACAGGTGGGCCCTGCTCCTTAACCTGAAGCGAAAAGTGTTTGGCGAAGCATAAAGAGCAACCGATATTATCACGAAAGGGACCGTAGCAATGAGAGATTTTGATTAAGATCTTAATAAATAATTTACAAAATATGGGACTACACATATTGGGAAAATTTATAGAATCCTTTATAAAGTCTCCTTTTAAATTAATTTTTAACAATCTTTTTACTTTGCCCTAAACATAATTTAAATTATTTAAGACTAAATCTGAATTATCTATATTTATTTTTCCTCGAATACAGGAATGGCAAAATGAATTTACCTTGTACTATTAATTAATAGGTTTATTTACATTAAAATGTTTATAACTGACGACGTAGCTTTAAAACAAATGGAACATATAGTGACTCATTAAACTGGCCACGAAGAGAGTATTGTAAATAATTATTAAGCAAATATCAATAGATCTACGGTCCCTGGTTGCCGCGGGGCAGAAAGCAAAGAGAGACGGTGACAAGTGGATGGCCCTATTCCAAAATACCAGACGCCTGCTTACCTTGTTCCAGGCCTCATGAATGTATCGGATCAGCTCATCGTGCTGCGACAGTGGCAGGCTCTGGGTCTGGCACCAGCTTGGCCATAGGTCGCACCGGCGTTGCTGTTATTACTGCTGCTGCTGCTGTGCCCCCCCAGTGATGAGGGTGAGTTGCCGGCACTGTGATTGCTATAGCCAGGTGCACTGGACGTCGCCCCCGCCGGTGACGAGGATGAGCCGACGTTGTTATTGTTGCTGTGATGGTGGTGGTGGTAGCTGTGGATAGCATTGTGGCCACCGCCGCCGCTGTTCTGGCGGCGTATATTGTAGGGGTAGCGTCTGTGGTGAAGATAGTGGAGAAGCAAAGCGAAAACATAAGTATAAACATATATACGAGCGCCATGTATGTACCGCGGGTGTGCGTATGTACATATGTATGTAAACACCGTCTTTTGTCGTCCAACGACGCATACTGGCATTTTTACAGTGGATTGCAGGAAGATCCCGAAGACCTGCAATTATATTTTCATACCCGTTATTGCGTTCCATTCCGATGTGTCCTTGGTGTATGATATTAATCCTCAAATCGTCTTGTTTATCGCTTACAAGTTATTTATATTCCCTCAATTTTCTCTTTCACAGCAGTGTGACCGCTGCTTTTTGTCTTTAATATGTTATAATGCCACACTAACATTTTGTGGGTAAATATTTGGGGTACTCGTTTAAAATTAATTATTAATTATAATAAAATGATACATTTAATTTTTTTTTATCTAAGAAAGTAAAAAACCCATAAAATGCCATATTAACATTTACGAAATATTTGAAAAAAATATTTGGGGAACTCTTTTATATTAAATGATTTACATTTAATTATCAACTAAAATGATTTCTTTTATATTGTCATGTCATAGGACTTTTGTTTATATTTTTGTGATACAAATTTTAATGTTAAAAAGAGTATAATCTGTTAAAAACCCTAAAAAATTATTCTTGATAAAAATTTTTTTTAATTATTAATCTACAGTGAAAATTGAAACGTTATGAAATTAGACCGAAGGTATTCTAAATCAATGAATAGAAACAAAATTCACATTATCATAGGCATTGTCGATACACCATAATTTGCTTAGTTGCCCAAGGACTTCGCAGGCATTTTTTCAGAAAATAGTTTTTAATTCCTAAAGTTTAAATAAAATAGAAAATGTTAT